TTTTTCGGTGGACAACGTTAATGACATTGACTGTATCAGTAATAAAATCAAATAAATAAAAAAATAAATGAACAGTGGAAAAATATAATCATACATGTTTCTATACAATGACTTTATTTCGTACATTCACTTAATCCGGTAATGATGTTAGGTTTGACTTTTCATTAATACCACCCTTTCCGAGTTCTCTTTTACTTATGGTTTAGAAACACAGCCGTAGAGTGCACGCACTAAAACCGTGAACATTAAATAGTACTAATAAGTACTATTTTATACAGAATCCTTTGTTTTCTATTGTTAAATTATCACCAATTAGTGCTAAAAATTAGTATTTGTTTTACGGATTTAGTGTGAGCACTCTATTGTACACATTTGCAAATGGTCTATTTAACTAGGTTTATTTACGATTCAGTAGTTTTACAAAATGATAAATCCGGCGCGCTCATTGGTCCCAATATACGTCTAAATTTATGCTGCTATATTCACCTACAGGTTAATATATAAACTCGCGCACAAAAAACTCTCTCTCCGTTATTCATTAAATTCACTTGTTAAAAATACATACTAAAACAATTATTCGCCTCAGGCTCAGTGAATATCAGGGAATATTTACCTCGCCGCTCGACATTTTTTTAAGAATAGATTCTTAATTTGGCTTGGGTGTAAAGTGTTCCTACTTCAGAACAATTGACATTCCTACACCCATTTATTTGTTAAACGGTTGCACAAGAGAAAACAAGTGAAACTAGATGCATACATATACGACACGTGATCTGAAATGAGGAAACATTATCCCCGAAAAAAATAAAGCTTTTTTTTTTAATTCTCTCGACTACTCTAGGTACGGTAATACGTGAACTTCTACATCTTTCAATAGACAGGAAGAATGGTATGGAATTTGAAATCTTATCGATTCAGCTAATTTTCCGCTCAGGGACACCTAACACTGAGTTTTCAAGCTTGCTCCTCGTACTCTGAGGGTTCCGTTTTGGAACGTCTGTTACTGGGTTTCTTTTATATCTTAAAAGTTTTTTCAGCTCAAATAGAACTTTGTCATTGCGGAATGCATAAAGAAAGGGGTTTAAGCAAGAATTAACTCCGTAGAATAACAGCCCAACAGTGTTCCAAATAGCGAAGCGAGTTACTGAACTACCGACAGTTTCAAGATTTACGGTCCAATAAACTATCGCCGTTGGAGCGACACTAAAGAATATATTCGTACTTACGACAAGCAAGATCATCTTGGCCATTCTTACATCTCTTTTTATCCCAACGTTAAGTCCGGACTGTCTGACTGTGTAGAACATGTGACCGTACAAGATGTATGAGCACGAAGAAATAGCTATACTCACCATTTGAAGGTAGTGCACATAGGTACTATGACTTTCTGGACTTTTGTAATTAATACAAGAATAGTCATCGGGAACTAGGTACATGTGTAAAGCAAAGGGTAATGATACTATAATAATGATTATAAACCAAATGCCTGTCAGCAGAAGTTTGGCAATACTTTTAGTTATCCTAATTCCTGGATTCATACTGAACACAATACAGAGATAGCGCTCTATCACCACGAGAAACCCTACAAGAACACTTAGGCACTGCGCTGTGATAACTAGAGTTAGTAAGCTACCACAAAAAAATCCTGCAGACAACGACATCTCAATATACTCAGAATTTGAAATGGTACGACGAAGCACCGTGAGAATAACCAGAAATAATCCAAGAAGGAAATCCCCCAGCGCCATGTTACACACCAAAAGCATAGCTACGTTCTTTCTTAAGGCTCTACTAGATGCGACAGTTAACATGACAATGGAGTTAGTAACAATGGCAATGACACCAATTGGTATGTTGGGTAATGTCCATTTGATGATTTCCTGCAAGCAAAGATGAGAAATATGGACAGAATAATAAGAGGATGGATAAGGCCTGCTGCAAAATGCGGAGCAGAGTTTTGCATGTAAAGGCACTTCTTGACAAATGACTGAAAAGTTGAGTTTCCAAAAAGCAGACAAATTAATACGAGGTAATATAGTGTATCGAGAGCAATTAATTTGAAATCGAAATATGCTCTTATTAACATCCAGTGAGGAGTAAGGATTCCTTATCAAGGAACACCATATACAGTTGCGTCTGATCGGATCGCTATAGGACACCAGTCCCTTGAATGTTGTGAGATTCGAGAGGCTTGCAATTTGCGTGATTGGTGACGATAGTGGGTTGGAAGTGACATCGAGTTGTATAAGGAATGACAAATGTTTCGTGACGTCTATGGTGTCCCAAGTTTGCATCAAGTTGAAACTTAAATCTCTGCAAACAAATAAACAAGCACATAGATAAATAAGAAATAAAAACAGTTTAGATGTCCATATTTTTAAGCATTGATAGTGTTCCCCAAAATCTTCCTGGAAAATTTAAATAATTCACTTTTAGTCAAGTCTCCAGTGTCTAGTCGTTCTAGCGTTTCGCACTAATTGGGGACACTTTCCGCTCACACGCACTACCACTTCATTCAATATTAAATTATATTTGAATCTCATTTGCGCGTGAAAAGGCATGTGGGCAATGATGTGTCAACCATTTGACCGATGAAGCGCACATTAGAAAGTGATGCTGCAATCGCGTGCCGGCCACATACTGCGCGCATTATATAGGAATTGCATGATTCGTTCAAAAGTCAACCAATCACAGCGCGCGTTATATCTTTAATCATTTAGCTAGTAACCGCGCGCCCCTTATAGATAGACAGACAATTTTGGTTCGTTTTATACTGACGCAACGCTTTTTTTTACAAAGTGTGATGTTGTCTTACAGTATTTGAAGACTTTCAAGTCCGCGAAATGCATCTTTTCCTATGTGTCGTATTCTGTTATGAGACAAATTCCTAGAAAGAGGATAAATAGAGATTATCACATGTTAAGAACTTGATATCGTTTTTATTCACGAGTTTTTCCGTATCATATCGCGAACGAGCGAGTCCTCGAGCGATATGATACGGAAAAACTCGTGAACAAAAACGATATCAAGTTCTTAACATGTAATAATTTGTTTATTACACATTTAGGCTCGATATATAACACACACAAAATGTTTTATTGTCTTAAATATCCTTAACCGACTTACACCATTTCAAAATGTTAAAGAATTATACGTTTCCAATTCAATATCATTCAAAATATCAAAGCTTAATTAAAAATGTAAGAAGCACAAAATTCATCATCTTGAATTTGATAGAAATAAACACTAAATAGAGATTTATCTCGTCACTCTTGACTACTATCGCTAGATTCTATAACATATCGCTTCCTTTTAGCTGGCACAGCAGGTTGAGCATTGTTGTTTATGTTGATCTCAATACTGCTTCCAGAAATCGTAGCATTAGRAAAAATGCTAGGTACACTACAAGTTGTAGTCGAAAAAGATGAAAATTGACCAACACTAGAAGACAAAATTACATCTGAATGTGATGATTTTTGAACACAGAGTTCTTTGGGCTGTGATTCAGAACTTATGATGGTACTTATCTGTTGAAGTTGTCGAGAGTTGAGAGACAAGTAGTTGTTTATGCTCTGAATGTTCTTGTGACCAGATATCTGCATGATTTGGTTTGGAGGAATATTATTATCATTCAGCTTCTGAAGCATAGTTTTACGTGCAGAGTGGTTGGTAAGATTGTTCTTCATGGGAAGTTCTGCATTTRAAGCCATTGTTTTCATGAATGAATACAATTGATTGATTCCAACAGGTGTTTTCTTGAACCAAGCCTGTGTCACCTTTCTTTCTTTCACGTTGTTTACAGCTATGTAAAAGGGGGAATCGGCTGTATTGCATTCCTGTGGTCTTTTCAGAGCAAATTCTTTGTATAGTTTAACTGGACATCTTTCTTTTCTCTCGATTTCATACATTCTTGGTTTTACAGRACGAATATCTCTCGGGTTTTCGCCGGTTCTCGTTTTCGTTTGGCGTTCATTATATTCCAGGTATTCAAGCTCCCCACTTTCATCGTTCTTAAGCTGAATGTCTCCCCAACAAAGGTCTTTGTGTTCTTTTCCTCCTCTCATACCAAAGTKTAGAGTATTGTTAAGCCACAGGGTGTTTAACATAGCCTCTGGAGATCCACTTCCCAACTGACCTTTTCTGTATAACTCATCTATCTCCTGCTCAGTAATGGAGCGTGCAGCGTTTGGTTTGCCTCCTTTTCCTGAAGATTTGAGCTCTTTCCGCTTAGCCTTCAGCACTTCGCGAGTACCGGAAAACTCAACGGAGTTTATGAGGGAATACCCATATTTCTTTTTCCTCAGGTATCTCTCGATGCTTGCTATGATTGAGCGGAGAGAAGATGGCTCGTAGTTGGTTCCATCTTGCTTTCTTACTCCTAAAACAAACTCTTGCAAGTATGAATCCAGCTCTGTAGGAGTAATTTCTTCTGGTTCTCTATCAGTTTTGCGGCTTAAAAAAGCCTTTAACAATGCCATGTCTTGATTCGTTTTTCTACTCAAATTTTGGTTTTCACTCTCTTCCAAAAATTGGGAAATTCCATCTTCTGAAAAGATAACGAATCGAGGATTTGACTCATCCATCTTCGATTCATACGTCGAGAAAACGCCGCAAAGCTACCACATCTAGCGATGTGACGTCACTTGAATAGAACAAACAATGTGATTGGTTCAAGTAAAATATATCGCAAGATTTGATTGGACAGTTTACCGTGAAGTGATATCGTATCACTTCACTGATATGGTTTTTATTCACGGCTTTATTTCACGGATATCGAGCTTAAATGTGTAATAAATATCCATATAAACTTTAAATCTTAAAAACATCATTTTTAATCTTGGCGATAGAATACTTACAGAGTTACAAGCCTATCGAATGAGAGAAAAACGTCATCTTCAATGCCATCAATGCTGTTATTAAAAAGATCCCTATACGATAAACAAAGAACATATAAGGGACAGTAGATAGAAAAACGTTTGCGCATGCATGCATTTCAGCACGTTTTCTAGGAATTTTGAAGAGTTTGAGTAAGAAAATAACTGTTTGTTTTATACTTCAATTATGTTACTGACCGTGACGTCACCCCAGGCTTCATTAAAGATGCGAATTTTGACTGGTTCACAGAAACAGCTTATACAAAGCATCATCATTATACTCAAAGTTTCCACAATGTTTTATATTGTAAATTTGATGTCTCATGCATAATGGCTAGTGTTTAGTATTAAAAATTAAACCAAATACACTCAAAAGCTTGGGGTGACGTCGTCACAGTCATTAAAATAATAGAACCTTCATAACTTAAAGACGCAACATTCAAATGAAGAAATATTTCACCATTCAACTATTCACTTTATGTAAAATCAATACTTAAAATATTGTATCAGGGGTTAGGTGCACTTTAATAAAGCGAGACATATTTCAATTTAACATTTTCAACATGAGTTGGTAGACTGGCCTTTTCGTTTTCAGTTTAAAATAATGCTTAACTTTATTGCAATTCATCTCAGGTATTATTCATAAATTTTTTATTACTATATGAGCAGTTGGAAGTATGGATATCGTTTTTCACCCTGAAAAAGGACGAGGGAAGACACTCTTCAAATCTGCAGTGTCCTGACTGCGGAAGTAAAGCCTGTGCATCATTCTAGATCGAAACTGAAGTGATGCCTTATCCTAATCCACTCATACACTAAATGTTATTCTCATACTCATTAATAATTTATGAGGAAACCAGCCAATCAATGGGCTATTTGTGGGTCACATGATGCTCAGCACCATTAAGGCATGGCTCTTTTGAGGAAGTGATGGAAAATCAGTTATTTATTCATATCTTTGACAGTTTACTATGAATCTTTCCCAA